AGAATTCCCCAGCCAGGGAATTCTGGGAGTTGAAGCCCACACATCTTCAAGCTGCCAAGGTTGAGAAACACTGAGTTACAGTGTTTGGAAGACAGGATTTAGGTGCAGAAGTACCTTCACACACAATGCTGTGTTGACAAGGGAAGAAGAGGACCAGGAGCGCCAATTCCGAGCAGACCAAGCACTCTGAAGGGGCAGCCACTTTTGCCACGCTGAGGTTTGTCATGGTGTTGGGGGTTGTGTGGACTCGTCTCAGGCTGCTTGTCATGGTAGAGCTCTCTACAGAATCCTGCTGTTCTCTGTACCCCACAAAGCATAGACAGGTAGAAAGAGGCCGTACAAGGTTAGATGTGACTGGACAGCAGCGTCTTGCGACAGCCAAACCCCACTTCAGGAGCACGTGCAAAGCCCATTCGGAGTGCTGCAGAAGCGTCCCGATTTTGAAATGGACCCATGCCGAGTGTTCTGGAAGCGGCTCAACCTCAGAAACAGATCCAAGCCGTTTCCCAAGTCTTTGGAGCAAAAAGTCAAACTGCTTCCGGAACACTTGTGGGCTCGGAAGGTCCCACGATGGGGCATTTGATGGATCCCTTATTTCCAACAACAAAGAACATTCCGAGCGAGGGCATGTTCCTGGCAGTTGCAGGGATGAAGTCAAGAGGGGAAGAAGCTGGGAGGGATCCCCCACCTGTATTTTTGGGAGAAGTTCTGGATTAGATGGGCAATGCTTCCATCCAAGACGAGGTCAAGCGGAGACTTGCCCCGGTGGTTGGCATAGTTGACATCGGCCCCTTCCTGGGCCAGGTAGCACGCCAGGGCAGCTCCCACATTCAGTTTGGCATTGCCAAGGAAACCGGAGGCTTGAAGCTGCAGGAGGATGGAGACAGGAAGAACACTGTGTAAAGGAATGTAGGGCTGACCTGGGGAAAGTTTGAGAGAGCCATTAAGAGGGAAAGAAGGAGCAAGCCATTAAGGGGAGAAGTGATTACCCAGTCCAGAGATAGAAGGAAGAGTGACAAAAAACCTTCGAATAACCCTACCTTGCTTTTGCTTCTAGATCTGGCCTACCTCACAGGGCTGACTCTGTGTTTTAAGAAGGCTCATATACTTGGGTAAAACATTTATTAATATCAGCCTAAATGGCACCAAAAACTATTCTGAAGTTTTCCAAAAACCCTTTTATGAGCACAAAAGTGCTCAGACATGATGTGATTAACGGGGGGGGGGGGAGAATTGAGGGACGTTTCGGGGGAAACATAGAAAACACAACCCTAACCCTGAAACACAGATTGAAGGCTGAGCACTGGGGCTGCCGAGTCGGGACACCCTGGATGGGTTTGGAGTTCAACTTCCTCCACCCTGTCCCAGCCACGAAAGCCCATGGAGAGCCCCAAAGATCCAGATGCTGACCCGACCTGCACCTGATCCTGCGTTCGAGACCTCTCTCACCTTTGAGAAGAGGCTGTTTTCCTGATCTGGCTGGTCCTCGACCATGACAGACACCAGGTGTTCCCTCTCCAAAATGATATGCATGGCCGTGTCGCCATCCTCGTCTTCCGAATTCACATCGGCGCCTTCGCTCACCAGCAGCTGGACCATCTCCACGTGACCCTGGGTGACAGCTAAGTGCAGGGGCGTTTGGTTGCGGTTGTTCTTGAGGTTGACGTCGCAGCGGCCCTGGGAAGGGGGTTGTTTATTGGGAAGGGGAGGAGTGGGGAAGCGAACAGCCTTTCATGCCACAGATCTTCACCGAGTTTTTCCCAGTGGAACTGTAATCTTGGCAGAGGCTGACATGTATTCTCTCTTAAAGTGGAGGGTTATATGGGGCTGATCCAACTCACCCTTCTCCTCAGCCCACAGCAGGACTGATTTTTGTAGTTTTTTCAACTCAGGAGGATGGAAGACACTTTCCCCCACTGATAACCAAGTTAGCAAAGCCAAGCCCAAAATCCTACAACTTGCTTGCAAGCATTAATCTTGCCTTGCTAGCAATTCTGCATCAAGATGCAGCTGGGGTGAATGTTTCAGAACTCCCCCCCACTATTTTGCTTGGCCTTAGAACTTAAACAGATCAAGCCTGGTTGGGAGACCACTAGGTGATCCTGGTCTATAAAAGAGCTGGATGTTAAAAATCATCATGGAGGCAAGCAGCAGCAAATCACTTTTATGAAGTTGAGCTTGTCATGAAAGATACTTTAGAGTCAAGACTGGGGATGTGTGGTATTTGGGGTGAATCCACCTTTCTTTAGTCTGAGTATATAAATGTCAACATATGTTTCCACACTTCTGTGCACCTTTCTTCGAAGATCTACAGGCAACATGAGATCGATCATGATTTTACAGCAAAAGGATCTTCAGCTACTCTTGGCTTCCGTCTTCCCCAAACACAGAAACCTCTAAACACCCCCCATACCCCCAATTATTTCCCCCTACATTTACCTCTTTGATTAAAATTTCTGCTACCTCCTTGTGATTGTTGAGGGCAGCGAGATGTAGAGCAGTGAATCCATCGTCCTTTTTGGCATCCACCAACTGCCGAGCCCTTGCGAGGATCTTCTTGATCGCTCTGAGAGGTGGAAAAGAGGAGAGCAAAGGAAAAAAGAGAAAGACGCAGAAGAAAAGAAGAAAAAAAACAGTGTATTCAGGGTATCAATTGTCATAAAGAAGGAACCTACATTTCAGGGATCCCTCCTGGGATTAAAAAAAGCCATATTTTGAGATAGGAAATCCACCTAAATCTACAGTGTAGGCCCTGAATTTGGCCGAATATAGTTTTAAAAAATCATCTCAGCCACCCCCAAACCACAGAAAGGTGATTCTGGCATCTGCCTCACCAACTCTGTAGGATCACCTCAGCCACTGTATTTTCTGGCCTTCCGAAATCATTAAATGACGTTGCCAGATACCAAAAGATGGCCTGCCTTTATTATGCTACCTTTAGAAACACATCTAAAGGATGAATGCAGGCCTTTGAACTTTATTCAGACTGCTACCTCTTTAAGTAAGCAGCACATTCTTTTCAGATGTCCACACCAACCCCTTAAAAGCACACAGCCTTTTGCACCTCTATGCTCCTTGCATAAGTCTCTTGGGAGGCAAAATGACCTCTCCCTTCCCTGCCAGAAGTTTGATGTGTTTGCTAATATTCCATGGAAGGCGGTTTTCCCCAGGATCTATGCATGCCCGCCCTGATGTCATGGAATTCAAACTGCAATCATGTCACACTTTGCTTACAGCTTGCTTCCCTTCAGGGCTGCGTGGTGCAACAGGTTGAATCCTTGTTGGTTCTGAACAGTAAAATCAATGCCAGGCACCTCGGTGAGTGCTTCGATGATGCATTTAAAGTCAGCAGTGATGGCGTAATGAAGGGGGGTGTCACCGGAGGAGCCCTGAAGGGACAGAGTAGGTGTTAACACAGCCAAATAGTGGCAAAGATCAGAAATTCCCAATATGTGTTACTTTACATTTTAAAAAAACACAACCTTCCACCTGGATTGAACTCGGAAGCTCAAAAAAAGCTCTTTTTTTTGGATGGGAGACCACTAAGAGAGCCTAGGGTTCAAAGGCTTCTTAGCATTTATCCCCAAATAGAAAGACTCACTGGCAAATTCACGTCACAGTTGTGCTCGCACAAGGCTTTTACGACCTCCGTGAAGCCATGGTTGACGGCGATGTACAGGGCCGTGCACCTGGCGTTGTTCAAAAGATCCGCGTTGGCCCCTTTGCTGACAAGCACCCGGGTGACGTCTGCTTGATTCCTAGTTCACACAAAAGCGCAAATGGCAAAAACACAAGGGAGTGGGGGGAATCAAAGTTGGAGATCAACTCCTTCTCCTGCTAAATAAAGTTATTTCTTTATTTTCTTTCAGGCTGGGAAGGGGGAAGAATTTAAGCCATCCTCACCATCTACTCCCTGCTTCTCCACTGCCCCATTTCCATTGTCCCCGTGTCTCATTAACTAAGCATGAAATATAGAAGACCCAAAAGAGCAGCTGCTTTGGACTCTCCTCAACTATTATCTAGCTGGCAGCCACCCCATCATGTTCCTGGAGGAGGTGCCATCTTAGCTGGCAAGGGTCAGAATTGTAACTTTAAGGACATTTGCCTTTTTTTCCCTCCTCCTCCCTCCCCATCCCTTCTTCCTTGCATGTCATGCCTTCTGAATCAAAACCTGGGGGCCTTGGAGATGAAAAGTGCTTGTCATTTATTAATCTATTCCCTGATTTGGAAACCTCCCTCTTTGAAAGACCAGCTGCTTCTTTTGGAAGAAGAGTCTTCCGCCATACCCCTTCTCGCAGCTACGTTCCCTGCAAGAGAAGCCTTGCCCCAGAGCTCTCAGTGAGGGTCACTTACCCAAATGCTGCATAATGAAGGGCTGTGTCACCTTCTTCATCCCGCAGGTTAATATTTGTATGAGCTTGCAGCAAAAGCTTCACCACTTCCACCTGCCCCACGTAAGAAGCCACCTGCAAAGCAGTCCTGCCCTGGTTCTGCACATCCACCTGCAGAAGAAATTTAGCATCTGTTACAGGATTGGCCAGCTGACACTGTCCTGGCCAACGCTGGCTTGTTGAATAGCACCACACTGGTCCCCTCCATTCAGCTAATTCTGGATTCTATGTATTAAATACATTATTATTAAACATCAAATGCATTATTCCTGGCTCAGCTTGTTTTTGACCTTGGCTGGATTGGGGCCACCCAGAGCCATGCCCATTTGTGGCAGAGACCAGGAAGGGGCACACAAAGAGGGATGATTTAAGGCAGTGGTTCTTAAACTGACCCAAATACCCCTTTTCCCGGTCTCAAACAATGCCCTCATTGCCCCGCAAAAAAAGCAAACTCTGTTGCTTTACACAAGCATTTCAGCAGCAGCAGTCCCAAACTGGAGCCTCGACTCAGAAATGCCAAGTGACAAACTGCTTGGTTACCCCTGAGATCTGCCCAAATTACCCCCAGCTTAAGAACCCCTGATGGAATGTTATTTCCGCACGACTCCTCTTGTGTGGATTTCTCTCTCCGGCGAGACTCGCCCGCCTCCTTGCTCCGGAGTTGTTTCTTACAGCTTCGAC